TGGAATTTAGTGTCCCTGATGGTGGAGATAAGATGATACGGTATCGTTGATCTAGTGGTAGATACGCGTGTGTGGAAATTGGCAGACGACCGATCGAATTCTGAAAACTTTGTTAAAATAAATTGGCGAGAATGACTCTCGAACAATTTGCAAAAATGTTTTCTGACATTTTACGAAAGCCTAGACTTGTCGAATCGAGTGTTCAATAGATGATAAGCCTCTCGAAACTTAACAGGGTAACATCAGCGAAAAGGGTGAACAGCTTTAAAAAGTATGAGCGATCTGTTCATTATCCATAATGAATTTTCAGTAATATTAACACAGGAAGTGGCAGAAACGTGAGTGTACCATATTCAGAAAGGTGTAACATTCGAGAAAATCGAAAGTGGGGTGATATTTAATTCTCGCGTGATCATTCCTGATACGTTGCTCGATCACGGGACGAAACACAAGGGTTCGCGTCCGATTATGGCAATCCCATTTCCCGGCGATCGAATGGCAGGAATTTTCCCGTAGACATTGTTGGAAAGCGTGAAAGCACGCGTAAAAGACGAGGACGCCGACGAATCCGAGAACTTTGCTCCGCGGCAAATCGACTTGTCACGAAATCCTATTGCCGCCTCCTGCATGTTTCCAGCGTTCTTCTCGTTTTCCACCCCCTTTCTAACCCCTCCTGTCGTGAAACCCGATAAAACCTCGTTCGACGGCGTGCTCAAATTTTCGAGACGCTTAGCCCCCTGATATTTACCCGAAATCGGATTTTCCACGACGAATGCACCCTCACTCGCCATGATTATTCCTTGCCCGTGCATTTCGTTGCGCGTGATTTCATATCAGCTACTCGATTAAGTATATCGGTAACAACGTAAACTGCAACGACAAATACGGACTATTTCTCCTGCCTTTATCGAAATTCGACCATCATTTTCTCCCTGTTCTATCTTTCGGCCAGGAATAAATTATCGGATTAATTAATAAAACAGAGAAAAAGAGAAACAGGAAAGTACGTCTCCCAATTTGCCAATTTCTTCCATTCGAGCGTATCCTCGCACACCGAAGTCTCATTTGCGAGCAGCATTCGTTGGACACTGCAGTAGTCTTCGAAAACTTGCCATTCCCCTTTTTAGAACCTTCGGATATCCTTCATTACGAACGCAGGTAAAAGTTACGAGGTGTCAATAAAATTCTTATGAAGTTGGAGGAAAACTAAAGGATCGCAGCGTAAAAGTTTCAATTACTCTCGGCCGGGGTGCCACGGAGGGGAGGTTCGCCTCCATTTACGGTTCTTCCTTGCGTACGGGAAGGAAAAAACGCAGGAAAGGGAGGAACGAAGTATCTAGACAGTGTGCAGATCCGGATGGGTTTTCATGAAGTATCGCGATGAAAATTCATAGGGGCCTGGGCGGGTGGAATCCGCGTTACGTGTCCGAGACGCGATGCAACGCGTGACGTGCGAAACGACGCTGCGAGGGAAAAAAGGTTAAAGAAGGAACGTGACTTTTTTCCTTTGTGCACGGTGCACGGGTATCGCGCAAGAATGCGCTTTAAAATTCAAATTCCCGTGAAGCTGTCGCGAGGTCGCCGCTGAAAAACTAAAAGGAACCCTGTGGGCGGCAACGGTTGCAAATAGCGAGAAATAATCTACCCCTGCAGCTTCGCGGCGTTTCTTGCTGCACGGTTAAGGGTAAAAACCACCCCACTTACATCGTAGGTTAAAGTTTGCAATCGCGCCTGATACGATGGAATAAAAATAAACCATCTCGTTATTTCATCGCCTCTGGTAAGTTCGTTAGAGGTTTCTCTTGTCCTTTTGCATGGTTTCGGTTTTATTTCGAAATTACTTGCGAAATTCTTTCGGCAGACTGTAGAAACGATGATAATTAAAATTCTTTTTAATTCCTACCTGTGCTCCTAAATAAATTTTAATTTGTCGCTTCAATCTTTACGTTTAATTTTAATTTTAATTCCTCGCGTGCTTCTAAATAAATTCTCACGAAATCGCAATTTTCGAAACGCTGCATCGTTTAATTAATCTACTTCTATGTTCGGAATAAATTTCTGCCTCTTGGTTTTTCAGCTTAATTTGCCAAATGAGCGAGACTGATATGGAAATTCTTAACTTTCGCCGATGCCATTCTGTCATTAAGAAATTCAAGTTAAACAATAAATAATTCGAATATTTCTTTTACCGGTAATATAAACTTGGCAAAAGAATCCTAACTCGAAAATATCACGGCCATTACTATAAACAGGGAATTAATATCAACACGAGGAAGCGAGGAAACCATTATTCGAAGTATGAAATAATTCGCACATGGTAATACTTTTTCTCGGAAGCACCCAGCTTCTCCCATTCCTCGTTCATCCAGGTACACCTGAAGAAGAAGAAGAGAAAGAAGAACCCCTGTCGTCACCGAAAAACACAGAGAAGCGGTCCTAACGTCATCAGCGATGCAGAAGAAGATAGGTATCTCAGGAAGGCAATAACGAAGGTTGGCTTTAATTGAATCCTTTCTAGGAAGTCCATAGAAGGCGTTAAACAAACTATC